ATCATCATCATCATCATCATCATCAACGACATGAACAACAACAACAACAACAACAACAACAACAACAACAACAACAACAACAACAGCATGAGCAACACAAACAACAACAGCAGCAGCAGCAGCAGCAACAACAACAACAACAACAAGAACGAAACAACAAAAACTCTCAGTCTAAGGCTGGTACCGTACAACAATAAATCAGTTGGAAGCAACGTTTTTGTCGACGAGCTGTGAACAATATTATATATCATTATTATTATAATTTAGTCCTGCCTCTCTCAATCTTCTTGTCATTCTCCACAACTCACCAGTAAAACCGTTGGCCAGCGGTTTTGTATGGTACATGTATTAGGCCTCGCGCCCACTTGTTATTTCTTGCCGACCTCTGGCAAAGCATTGTATTTGTATGCAAATTAGATATTTTGCTTGCATCACACGAAGTTCATCGTGCAACACGATCTTTTACCTTGCGTGGAATCTGCAGCCGCTCCTCGATTCACCCAAGAAAACGGATAATTTTGAACCGTAGGTATATTTTTGGTCCCGATTTAATTGAATATGTGCTGGAAATAAGTGTTTTACATTACATTTCATACATTTCAGCCGTTCTTAAAGCAATTGAGGCAATAATTTCGATCTGAAGGCTTCATGGCCTAGATTTGGACCTATCGAGATCAAGGTCAGCTCTGTGTAGCATCAAGCCACAGACTCGAGATTTTGCCTGTAAAGCGGTAAATTATGGGCTCGCATCATTTTTCGTTCTTATCATTCGGGCGATGACGTCACGAAAACGCATTGCCTGGAACATGCAAAAAATTGTAGTGGGCGTCCCACCTTAGGCTAAGAGAGTATTCTGTTCACAGGAAGCATGCCTCAGCAATTGAAGGTCAACATTTTGCATCTGCTGTCTGTGAAGATCTAAACAACTTCATACCCCAAACGGAAATAATAAAAAAAAAACTTGTCATCGGAAACAGCTGAGGACAAATTGAAAGGCAAGAGGCCCCTGCCTCCTCTCCATCGCAGTCTCTCTCTCTCTCTCTCTCTCTCTCTCTCTCTCTCTCT